GGGTGTTTCGGTAAGAGAAGAGGAAGCTAGCCAGGCGTGTTTGCAAAGATGCCTCCTTCTGGAGCTTGCTGGTCTTGAGGGCCTGTTTTAGGGTTTGCACATACCTCTCAGCTCCACCGTTGGAGGCTGGATGATATGGTGGTATCCGGGTATGAATAATACCATTTGACTGTATGAAGACTTTAAATTCATCAGAGGTAAACTGGGGGCCATTATCGGACACAATCTCTTCAGGGAGACCATATGACGCAAACAGACCACTTAGCAGCTCAATAGTTTTTGCTGCAGTAGTTGACTAGCTCACATATACTTCAGGCCATTTTGAATGGGCATCCACAATAAGCAAGTAGTTGATTCCTTCATATTCTGCAAAGTCAATATGTAACCTCTGCCGGACTCTAGTAGGTCATTTCCATGGAATAAGTGGGGCAGGAACAGCTCCCTTCTTTACTTCGCGCTGCAATTACGTACAGTGTCTTCAATGGCAGTGTCCAATTTGGGCCACCACAAGTAACTCCGAGCTAGGGCTTTCATGCGGCAAATGCCGGGGTGATCTTCATGTAGACTGCTTAGCATGGCTGATTTGTACTCATCTGGGATGACAACCCTCATTCTCCATAGTAAACAATCTTGCTCTGCTGACAACTCATTCCGACGATAGAAGAATGGCAACAGTTCTTCGGGTAGGCAGGATTGATCAGACCAGCCATTTCGTACAAACTGCAGAACAGTGGAGAGGACTTTATCCCCCTGAGTGGCACGTGCAATGTCCCTACAGGTAATAGGAAGATCATTAATAGCATAGTTAAAATGATAAAGTTCACTTCCCTGACACGTTGCCACATGATCAACCGGCAGCCCGGAAAGTGCATCAGAATTAGCATGAGCATCAGTGCCTCGGTGCTTGATCTCATACTAATAAGATGACAAGATCAGGGCCCATCTTTGGAGTCTAGCAGCTGCTCACGTTGGGACCGCGGATTTGGGTCCCATAATGGCAAGAAGTGGTTTATGATCAGTCTCAAGTAAAAATTTTCTTCCTTACAGATATTGGTGGAATTTCTTGACCCCGTAGATTATGGCTAAAGCTTCTTTATCAATTTGACCTTAATTGTTTTCGCTGGAGGACAAGGTCCTAGATGCAAAAGCTATGGGTCGTTCTTCTCCGTTTTCCATGGTATGAGAAATAACCGCTCCAATGCTATATGATGAAGCATCACACGCCAAGACCAATGGTAATTTAACATCATAATGGGTCAAGACCTTGGCTGACAGTAGTTGTTGCTTGGCATCATCAAATGCCTTTTGACAATCAGGACCCCATAACCAACTCACCCCTTCTCGTAGAAGGTTGTTTAGTGGCTGAAGCAAGGTAGATAGATTGGGAAGGAATTTCCCATAATATTGAAGCATGGCAAGGAAGGACCTCAGCTCAGAGATGCAAGTAGGAATAGGAGCTCCCATGATACCTTTGACTTTCTCAGGATTAGGATGTACTCCTTCTTTATCAATTAGGTAACCCAAGAACTCCACTTGATTTGCATAAAGGAGCATTTTTCAGCCTTTAGTTGAACACCGTACTTGGACAAGCGTTGTAACACTGCTTCAAGAACCTTCAAGTGTTCCTCTTGAGTAGGCGCTGTTATCAGGATATCCTCAATGTAACAAACAACTTCGGGAATCCCTTGAAGTATTTGATCCATGGTAGACTGGAAGATAGCGGGTGCACTTGCAACTCCGAACGGTAGGCGATGGTAGTGGAATAATCCTTTGTGGGTGTTGATGATAAGAAATTTCTTCGATTCTGGATGCAGGTTAAACTGTTGATAGGCATGTTTCAAATCTAATTTAGTGAACTGTTCCCCGCCTGCTAGAGCACTTAAAAGATCTTGAGGAGTCGGTAATGGATACTGATCAACATCCATGTCTTCATTGATGGTGACCTTATAGTCCCCGCAAATACGGATGGACCCATCTGGTTTGGGTCCCACCACAATTGGTGCCGCCCACTCACACTGGTCTGTCTTTGAAATTATGCCTTCTTTCTCCAACCGTTCTAGTTCAGCCTCAACAGTCCCCTTTAAAGCATATGGGACGGGCCGTGGCTTAAAAAACTTTGGGGTTGCATCTGATTAACCTTAACTCTTGCTTCGAATTCTTGGATGCTGCCTTGGTCGTTTGAAAACACCGAGTTATACCTGGTAGTTAGCTCCTCTATCGCAGTGGATACCTTGAATAGTTCCACCCAATTGAGGCGAATCACACTGAGCCAGTTTCGGCCTAACACCGGGGGTTGGACAACAATCTCAGCTACAACAAGTGGAAGGGCTGCTTTCTGACCCTTGAACTCTACATTGACGTGCATTTCTCCCAGGGTAGGTAAAACTGCTCCAGAATATGTTTTGAGGTGGGCAGTACAGGGAGACAGACTAAAGTATAAAGGCTGATAGTTTCGAAAGAAACTGTTTGGGGCTGCGTCGGTGGGAGTAACGAAATAATTTGGATATATCAACAAAGTTGAAATGGTAAATTGGCCACCGTAAGGATTACAAAAGCTGACGTTTCGAGCGTTAGCCCTTCGTCGGAGCGAATAGAGGAATTGTGGGTTGTGTGTGCTTTTAAAGGCAGAAAATGGAGCTACGTTATTGGTGGGTGCATGGCAACGAGAAAAACATGAATAAATTAGTGGAATGAAAAGCGTTCATTGATCCCTGTGGGATTTAGACTGCCGGTTTGAAAGATGAGCTTTTGTTCAAGATTTTTACGGCTTTCCGTGCCACCTAAGTGCAAGGAAAGACCGCAGATTGCCATATGTTGCTTGTATAATAAACAGATTGCTTTACTTCAGACCCTTCGGAGGTGGGGTTTATGTGACACAACCAAAATGCTCCAAACTCCCCTCCCCAATTAGGCGACAACCCTCCGGTCTCCTTGGGTAATAAAAAAGTTTCAATAAAATCAACAGTCCTTTCGTTCCTGAACATACCGTGCTATTGGCACAAGTAAACATTTCTGGAATTGCTAATGCCCGAAGAAGGAGAGGCAATCCTGTGATGCCAAACCTGAGCTCGGCTGCAA